TGAGCTCAGCTTGAGCCACCCCAAAATTACACATTTCAGCTTTATAAAGTAAGACATACTGAACAACAGTTGAAGCTCAACAAAGCATTTACAATTCAAATTTTGTGCCTGTCTGGCTTGCCTGTCACTGAAAGTTAGGCTTAGATTCACAAAGGGGATTGTTCAGAAGCGAAATGAAATGTTGTTTCTATAAAAAAATAAATAAATATAGTGCATATTCAGATAAGTAATTATTGTGCATTATCTGAAACCAAATGTGATGGTAGTAGTGAGTGCAGTGACCTGTGTTGCAAATAAAATCAGTTTGAATTCTCAGATATCAGCACAGCACAAAAGGCATTGTGTTTTTTCTCGATTCCCTTGTCCCTGGACTAGACCCAGCTGTGCTAAGGTGGTGCCTCTGAGGATCATCACAGCAACTTTTTACCACAGTTCAAGGAAATGGCTTCCTCTACAAATACCTTTAAAGCTACTGTGTACTTCTTCAGTACCATAAGCTGCTGGCAGTACAGTGAAAATCTACTCTCTTTTTGAAAGAAGTCTGCAGTGAACCGCAGTGTCCCCCAAGCCCTATTGTTCCCAGTAATAGCTGCTCTATGTTACTTGTGATGGTAACAGATGTATGAGGTTTTTTAAGCTCTTGAGGAGCTTTAAACTAAGTCTGGCAGCACACCAAGGAGGTATTGGTCTGGTGCTATTGTAATTCATGGCTTGGATGCACTGGTATTACAGCATTAATTACCACTATCAATTAATTTAATGTGAAAATGTATTTTGGCAGCACTAATATACTGTTATGGTCCAAAACATAAGATGCAATATCTAATTACCAGTTTGATCTCTTGAAACTCAGCTCCTTTATGTGTTTCTCTTCTTCTGTTAACAATTGTGCACCAGGAACATTTGTCGTGATGTTGTCTCTGACTATATTATTGGCTTAGGCGTTAGTAAATACTCCATGCTCTGCCTTATTTTATGCATTCATTTATTTAAACTACTGTGAAAAATTAATAGTTCTTATTCCTTTGATTATATTTTTTCTTTAATTTCCTGAAATCTAAATGGTAAGGCTAGAGAAACTTGTCAGACTCACCATCCAACAAAAGAGCAAATCCAGCTCTGGATACATAGTAAAGATCATTACCTCTTGTCAGGCTTTTAGTACGATCTCTAATTGTTACCAAAGCTATAGCTTTGTTACCAACAGCAAAAAATTGGAACCAGTTTGCACACTGGCTCATTTATTCACTGTCTGTTGCTGTCCTGAATTACTGGCTTTTTTCCCCCTGTCAGCTAGTCAGTCTAGTGAGCTTTTCCTCTTATCCTAGAGTGGGTATCTTCACTTGATCCAGTAAATCTCTCTAGACATGTTTGACTGTTTGGCCTAGATTTCCCCTGGTTGTAATAGGAGCTCAGACAACTTGTTCACGTGTTTCATGCAAAGGCATCACAGGATTTGAACCCATGAAATAGTGTGTATAAACGCCATTCAACCAGCTCAGATTTAAATATGAAAAGAGTAAAATGAAGTTATGTGTCGTCGGAGGGTGGGTGCAAAGAGGAATTTAATTAGTTAAAAATATATTAAAACGTTGAACTACAGAAAGCTCTACAAAAATGTTCTTTAAAGAAAAAGGGGAACCTAGCAACGGTTTCTGCAGATTTTACAAATGGAAATTACTTCTCACTACCTAAACTAAACTAAAACTGTCTCAAGACAAAATTCTGCTTCTCTGCCTGATGAAGATAAACCTACATTTTCCCTAGCATTTTCATTCATTTTATGCTATGTACATGTAAAAAACTCTGGGTACATGTCCACACATGGTTTATTGCTGTCAGTAGTTCCACTGATAGGCAGTTTCACGTAGCTTGTTACCTTGGAAAAATGTGAAATGGAATCATAAGCCCTGGGTTTTCTAAAATGTCTTGAATGATTAGACACAGGTAGGGACTGGGGAGGAATGCAATAAGCCCAGATCAGGACTACCAAAAGTTTTTTCAAGCCAAATAGGCTAGAAAATAAAATTTTTAACGTCTTTTTGCCTTTCTTTGTTGTAAATGCAAATTTGTTCTAAAGAAAATTAGAAATCTGAGGAATAAATCATGCCCAGGGAGTGCATCCTGCTGTATGTCTCTTTACATTAAGAAGGGCAAGAGGTTTCAGGAAAGTGAATTAAATGACTACAACGAGATAAAGTTAAGCAGAGGGAGTCTGTAACCATGGTGATGAAACCACTTTAGTATATCAGAGTCCAGGGGGACAGGACTGACAGTGCTTAACATCCAGAAAGCCACTTTAACCTCCCAAGCTAAGGGGAAAAGACAGTTTATGAAGAATAGAGAATTCTTCACAAAAGAATTTTTACTGATATTCAGCTGATTGAAATATGCTTAATATGGTGTGCGTAGGTGTATCATCTGAAATCCAACACAAGAGGCATGATTTTGGCAAAAGCAAACCAACAGATGCTTCTGACAACCAAGTTGTGTAGCAGGTTTCCTTTTTGGCTACCTAGGTCACTTGTTTTTCAGTGAAAGCCTAACTGAAATGTTAAGGCACCAGTTAAGTATCAGAGGAAGGAAAAAATTGAGGTATGATACATACATACATACACACAATTGAGGTATGATCTTGTTTTGCTTTACATTGATATTTCTACTGCATTCAGAATTTGCTAAAGTTGCACATATCTATAACCATGTGGATGAGGGTGGTTTTTTGGTTGTTTTTTGTTTGTTTGTTTGTTTTGTTTATTTTTAATTTAATTTATTTTTGTTTTGTTTTGTTAGATTGTTTTGGGGCTTTTTTACTTTATCATAAAAACTATATGTAACAGTAGATCAGAACTACTTAATTAGTTTTCCATTTGTACATATTTATATATGTAGTTTCTAAGGACACAGTGTTATTTAGTTTATATTCAATTCAGCCAAACAAACTGCAGCAATTTAGCAATATATAAAGGGAAGAGGGAAGACTAACTTTGGAAAAAGATTATTTCCTCTGATGCCTTGGAAATATACTTTGCAGTATAAAAGGACTAATACCCCTCTGCAATATCTACATGTCTGTGCATTTGTGAAGGAGAAAGAAGACAGAGAAGGTGAAAAATTTTCTTTGCAGGTAGAATACGTGGGTAGACTTCCAATATAAGAGGAGGGGAAAACTGGGAGAAAATCTAGTCTTGTTAGGTTTTGCTTATTAGGATTTTGCTAATAAGAAGTTTCTTTTAGAACATATTTTTCTGTTGTTGTGGTTTGAATTGCAGAATTGCCCTAAGGTTTTGTATTTTCTTATGACAAGTCACACATGCTTTCTTAGTCCCTTCTCATTCCTGGAACCGATATGTGTAGAAGCAGTGTTGTAGCTGTAACAAGCTTCCTTTTCAAGTCAGTGGTAATCTCTGAAATTGTGTGTGTGAGGCAAAATAAAGCCCTACGTAAATAACATGACAGGCAATAAACAGCAGAACACAAAAATCTAAACATAAGGTTGGGAATGCATGTGTGTTGCAGTTAATATTTTTAAAATATCACTTAGGAAACAAGGTGAAGCTTTGCATCAATGTTTGTTTGAGTACATCTCTGCTGTCCTACTATTGCCTCCTGCAACAGAGATTCTGCATGAGACTGGCAGCACTACCTTTGTTTTCAGAAAGTACACTCTCATGACTGATTACCAAAATGTCATCTGACACCTCTGCTGGCACCTCTGCCATACAGGGATGTGTGATCAGCCTTGGTCTTTCAATAGGAAGGAGTTCTTGTCCTTTCCCTGATGTATTTCCAGCTGCAGAGAGCCCTGCCTTGAGGTTTGTTTTCTCTGCCTTGAAGAATGCTGTTTGTTCTAGCCCAGTTGTCTTAAAGATGTGCACATGTGCCTGCCTGTCTCTGTTTATGCTTAACCTTGAAACCCAATCAAATATTTTTTAGCAACTTGACAGCAGGGAAAAGCTCTCAGCTGGACAAGCATCTCTTCAGCTACTTAATAAGGCTACAGAGACATTATCCCTATTTTTCGTGTGTGATGTAATAGTGAGAAGGACTGCTTTGGCAGCTCAGCTACTTAAGCTTGTAACTGACCACAAGAATTTTGTATTCATCTCAGTTGTGTAATAAAATAACATGACCTGTAGCTGGTTGAGAACTTCATAGACTGACAGAAGGAAAGGAGTTGGGAATTATTTGAACAGAGAAGGCATTTGGTGTACAGTATGAAAGCCCTACCATTTGTACTTTGCTGAACTGAACAGAGGTTCAGGCACTGGCTAATAAGAGTGTTTAGATAAAGTGTGAGGTTACACTGTTTTGATACCAGGGCTATTTAGAAGCTATTTTTTAGATCACTATGATGTTAATGGTATTGTAAAGGTGGTACTATTAGGCATCAAAGTAAACTGCTTTTAGTCAATCAAATACCTTACACATACTGTGGTGAATCCATAAAGAGATATGTAGATTTGATGATCTGAGTTATAAAAAGTGTGTTTGAGGAATAGCCATAGGTCTCCCTAAAATAATACCTTGTCATTTGATCCATAGGTAACAAAATGCTGCCAAGTTTTACTTCAAAAGGTGTTTCTTTTGAGTGGCTGCAATGATATAAATATGAAATAATTTCGTCTCTTTATTTCTGTTGAAGTAAACCTTGGCTTTTTAAATAATTTTAATATCTCTCATTATACTTGAACCTAACAATGCTAATTGAATCTTGTGTAATCTAACACAGCAGCTTGCCCTGTCATAAGGAAAAAAGTCAATTAAAAATCACAGTTAGTAATTACAAAAAATTATTGGGCAAAACAAATCTTTCTCATTTACTATTCACAGAAGTGGGTGGTCTGTACTATGCTTAACATTCAAGAGCCTTCCCAGCCTAGGAAAATAAAAATACACACAGTATCAATATTTATGTGTTGTTAAATCAGCAACAGCAGATGTAGTCTGAATGGCTATGTGGTGTAGCTTTCACATGAAGGACCTTCACTCATACACCATTTAAAATGAGAATAGAATTTATAATATGCAATTTCTGCAATTAATTGCAGCCTTGAAAATTACACTGCACTTACTACAATAGACTTTACAGCTGTAAACTATTGTAATGTGTGTATCATCTGCACATCAGTAATGACCATTATCAATTAGATACAAACAATTATTTCCAGCAGCATTTACAAAGAGCAACTTTAAATTGTCACTTTAAAAAAGCTTCACTAAAGACCAGCAGTTTTTCTTCAGGCACAATCTGACCTATTAATGAACCTTACTTAAACTATAGCCACAAGCACTGATACAAATAGCTTTTTCCATTCTTAATACAAATATAATTTCATAAATCAAAGCTACCATGCATTTCTGATGGTTCTTAAGAGAAAATATATATTCAAAAATATCCATTGCTTAATTTCTGGTGCCCACTCTGCCCTACAATGTTGTCATCATCATTTTGTATAGAAAGTCCAGCCTAATACCTGGGCAAGACAGCCCCCATAGGCATGGTAAATCTTGTGAGAAGGTAAATCTTTCCCTCCGTTAATTAATATCTTTTATCACTAATAATGAGACTGTACACATACTAGAAAAAAAAATTTTAAAATCTCCTGTAAATAATAATTGTGTGTGTGGCTTCAACTGCCAGAAGACTGCTTGCACATGAGATGGAAGATGTGTGGGGCAGGGACAACTAACTCTCTGAGATGGAGCCAGCTGAAGCTCTTGCAACAGAAACAGAATAACAGGCAGTGGGGGAGCCACACTTCAGGATAGTACCTTGCCAGGTGTGTCAGTATATCCCCAGGATGAATTTTAGCGTAGAGAGGGTTTGATGAGATGTCTCTTAGACCTTGAAAATATAATTTTGGGGTTTATTTTGAAGCAGGTAAGAGACTCTGACATCCTTAAAATTTGTGTTTCTGTTTTGTGTAAGAAGAAAGAAAGGTATCAAGAAAATCCTCTCACAAATTCATTGAACTTCTAACATCTGAATCCATGATCACCTAGAATGTAATCAAAGGGAATCAGAAGAAATGTACCTCTTTTAAAGAAATACTAGGTTTACTGCTCTCCAGATGAGACACTGGGGATTCTGAATGATAGCTGGTAAATGCTAAGGAAAATGGGTAACTGCTAAGAGAAAGGAAATATACCAGTGGCATCTTGAAAGTTCTCATCTGTACATTTTTTGCCTTTGAGAAAATATCTAAGGATCGTTGCATGCAAAAAAAATCAAACATCTTAAGCTCAATGTTGTCATAGTGAAGCAAGACTAGAAATTATCTAAAGAGACCATTACACTATGCCTCTGCCCCAAGACAAGATTAACAAAGTCACTGTCATATCTGACAGATGTTTACAATGTCATCTTAAAGACTTTTACTGACAGAGATGCCATAAACTTCCTAGGTCATCTACTCCAGTGCTTAATTATCCTTATTCTTAGGAAGTTTTTCTAAAGTCTCGTCTTGGTCTTTCTTACAGTTAAGCCCATTACCTGCTGTCCTGGCACAGATGGCTGTGAAGAACAGATTGCAATCACACCCAGCTATTCCTTAAGGACACATTCTGGACGAGAGCAGGATAGCAAAAGCACATTTTCCCATAAGAATGAATGATGGGGGAAATGCATACAGGGACTTAAGAATTACACATAGTTTAAAATCACAGCAAGCAGGAGCAGAATCACTGGGAGGAGAGTCCATCTTTTCTGCTGTTGTCTTTTCAGCATGGATCACTATTCTGAAAGATATCAGCTATACCATCTGTGAGACTGAATGTCCAAGAAAACTCTTACGGTGTAAGCCCTCTTGATGTCTCTATCTGGACAGTTGCATCTTCATCATCTTCCTTAGACAAATCAAGGTCAGTCAATCATAGGTGAGGGACAGAAGAAATGGATAAATGATGGTGGTTAGCAGCAGAACTCTTAAGTAGTGGACAGAGAAGCAGAGGATAGTGAGGTGCCACTGTATTCTCTTACTGTCTGCTGAACCCTTTTACACAGACAGAAATGACCATAAATTTCCCCCAGTATTTTCTCTCCTGCAAGCCATCCAACACCCATTTGCTCTGCCTTTTATTGCTCTTTATATCTGCAAGTAGTTAAATGGGTTCAGAGAGATGACCTGGTCACTTCTTATTTTGTGGGCCAGCTTGCTTTCTGGAAGGATTGGCCTGATGTAGTAGGACAAAGGAAGGATTGCAGCTGCATCAGCTGATAGCAGTTTAAATCTCTCTGGAGCTGTAGTGTTAGTTCTCAAACACCATCCTTACGTAGCTTCAGTCTAATACAATAATATATTTCTAACATTTGAGGAGGAGGAATACCCTAACTCAATTTCATTAAGACTGGATGCCAGAGTTAGACACCTGAAACTGCGTAGGGTGTCCTACATAAAAGCATTTTAATTTTCCAGGGTTTTGTGCAGTCCTTTGACTCGACATCAGATAGCAATGTTTTAACAGAGCAATATTTATTTAAGAACATAAACACAGATTCAGATGTGTGAATCCAGATACATGGCTTTGAAATAATCACAAAAGTAAAACCACAAACATTTAAGACCACGTTTATGAACATGTATGAAACCATGAGGGGGGGAAAAGGTTTTAGCAGTGAAGATAAACCTGAGATTAACTTAAGCTTGTATTATAGTGTCTCAAACTATGAGCTATTTTCATTTTGATATAATTATCTCACTATTCTTAATAAATATCTCAAGTTTGATTGAAGAGTGAGGGTGAACAAATGCATGTGAGATATCTACTGACTGTGACAGTAAAGGGTGATGGTAGCCATGGGAAGAAGTTAATATGTGTCTGCTATATGCCTCTGGAATGGATTGCAAATGCCCATCACCCCTCTGTGTTTTTTTTTCCATTCCCTCTGGAATGGGACTTTTTGTGCTGGGGCACAGGTGTAGCTTACATGGAGGCAGAGTGAACTTTCTCTGTGGAGTGCCTGTGTGTGTGAAAGCACACTTATCCCTCTGAAACAAGGCAATGGGGTCCCTCACACTGACCAAGTCCTGTACAGGGGGCAACAGTTTCCAGGGATAGCTGTGTCTTGCAATCCAGTTGCAAAATAGCTGGTACCTGACAATTCTTGAGGCTGCTCCCAGGGGCAGCCTGTGTCGGGGAAGTCACGAGTCTCTTCTCCACAGTCATCTCACTGCTGTCCTCTCCCTGAAGGCTTATGGCATGGGGAATGGGCTGTACCCAGGTGGTGACAGCAGCAGGAGGTACTGACAACGAGGCAGCTCCTTCCTTCTGGTAGGTGGTGTCATGATGATAGGAAACCAGCTCATTGCTGAAGTTGACCCTCTCCACAGTGGATTTGGGTGTGCCACAGCAGAAGCACCAGCAGCCCAAGAGGTTTCTGAAAGCCCTCCTGAAGTCTGCGTTGAAAGCATAGATCACTGGATTCAATGAAGAGTTGGCCCAGCCAAACCACACAAAGATGTTGAAGGTGGTTTGGCTAACACAGGGTGACTGTCCTTCATGGCCTTTCTCTAGCGTGGGTTGACAGAAAGGCAGCAGACAGTTGAGCAGGAAGAAGGGCAGCCAGCAGCAAACAAAGACTCCCATTATGATAGAGAGAGTCTGCAGGACCTTGGTCTCCTTGTGCAAGGAATTCCGCAAAGGGAGGTGGGCTCCTTGCTGTGAGCTGGCCACTGCCCCCCTGCTCTCTCAAGGGTGGAGATACGGCGGATCTGGGCCTGGGCAATTCGGTAGATCCTGGTATAGGTGATGATCATTATGGCCACAGGGATGTAGAAGCTGATAAGGGAGGAGGTGATGGCGTAAGTGCGGTTCAATCTGACATCACATCGGGGTGTCCCAGGCAACCAGGAACCTGGATATCCCCTGTCCTTGGCTTTATGCCAGTGCAGCTGCACTGGGATGAAGGAGATGAGGATGGAGAGGGCCCAGGCCATGGCTATCATGGCACAGGCAAGGCGCTGCGTCATCTTGCGCTCATAGCGAAAGGGGCTGGCAATGGCCCAGTACCGGTCCAGGCTGATGATGCAGAGGTGGAGGATGGAGGCGGTGGAGCACATGATGTCAAAAGCCACCCAGGTGTCACAAAAGCGGCTACCGAAGAGCCAGGAGCCTCCAGCCACCTCAGTGACCGCCTTCCAGGGCATCACCAGGAGGGCTACGCAGAGGTCCGAGATGGCCAGTGACAGCACGAACCAGTTGGTGACCTTGGCGCGCAGGTTGCGGAAGCGCAGGACAGCCAGGCACACCAGCGCATTGCCCACCAGCGTGCTCAGCACCAGGGCGCCCAGCAGGCACCCGGTGAGGACCCGCAGCACCCGCGGGCCGTCCCCCGCCCCCGAGCCCCCCATTAGGGGCGCTCCCTCGGCCGCCCCTTCTCCACCTGCGGGGCAGCGCCGGCGCCGCTACCCCGGAGGAAGGGCCGACCCCGCTGCCCCGGGACCCCCGGCCGCTCTTGCAAGCGAGACGCCGCCCGAGGGACCGGTTGTGGGAGCGGCAGCCAGCGGGGGCATCTCTGCCCGCAGCCCCCGCCCGCCCCAGTGACCCCCGCAGCGGGCCGGGCTGTGCCGGGGGTACTCACCGCTCCGGCTGCCGGGGCACGGAGGGAGGGAGGGAGGGAGGGCTGTCCCGCGGCGGGACCGGGCGGTGGCGGCCCCTCGACGGCGGAGTAGAGCGGGGCCACCGGGGACCGCAGCGCCAGGACGGAGCAGCGGCAGCTCCGAGTGCCGCCCGCGGGCGGGATGCGGCCCCCGCGCCGCCGGAGGGAGCGAGGCGCCGACCGGGAATGACGGGGAAGGTCCCTGGGATCGATCGCCCTTCCGAACAGCAGAGAGGGAGATTTCCCCACAGAATCGTCCTGGGAAGAGCCCTTTTCCAGTCCTCAGTGTGTACTTGCCGAAATGTCAGGGGCGAGGGAGGACCTGGCGCTTTCTAAGTGTCTCGTTCTTTTGGAGACCACGATGACATTTCAGGTTTGTTAAAGAAGAGGATAGCACTTCGCGTGGGATTATGTACATTGAGAATACCACTTAGGTATCAGAACCTGTGTTTTCAGCAAAACAGCACTGCGCTATTTGTTTTTTGATTTGCAATGTTATGTAAAGAAACCAAAAGCACAGAAACCTAAGATCAGTTTGAATCTGCATTTTGTCAGAAAGTTGTTCATGCATTTCCGCAGACACGGTACCCAAAAGCTGCCTCTTTTTTCAGCCAAAGGTGTTTTCTGATGTATTTTAACAGATCTTTCTGTTATGATAATATGCACGTTGTCGTATAAACGTCTTTCATACATTTACATCCTGCTTTCAGTAAAGTACCCTAATGCAAATAGAGTATAATCCTTTATTTTAAAAGAATTTATATGGTAATGCTGTCATGAGAAAAAGAAAAAAAGAGATTGGGATGTGAACAGAAAATATCAATAAGTGTAATTAATTAACATGGGAAATCAGTATTTATTTTTAAATGAGCTATTTTTTTATTTTCTCTTTGTCTCCTAATTAAAATTACTTCAGTCACTAGTGCCAATACAAATAATTTTCAAGCCAATAAGTATCTGATTTCCATTTACTATTCTGATATTCTTGGTAATTAGAATACAGAGTGGAAATTTTTTAAACAAATTTTGAACAGCAAAGCTGGCAGCTTTGCCTGTAAAAAATCAGCATATTTAAGCTAAACTAGCTGGATGGTACCAATCATAACAGATTGTTAACATTTGGTCGTGTCTTTAAGATCCTAATTTCTTTGTGCCTTTGAGACCACAGCCTCCATAATGCAGCCCACTGTTTTATTCCTGTTATGACATTGAAAATTGGAATACATTTCTAGTTAATGAGTTTCTAAGATGAACTGGTAATTCAAACAATTGATCTAGAATCTTCTCTAATGAAATATGTACTTTGTTTAAACAGCAGTAGCTGTAAAAATAACATAGGCTCCAAGATAAGAGCCAACTCCACATCTTGTCTTATTTGGAACCAACCGTAGTTCTACGTACATCAATTTTACCAACATCTGCAAACCACAACAGCTCTCTGATGTTCATTCCAATACTAAGGACTAAACCTTGGTTTGTAAGAATTATCTACATACTTGTTAATTTGACTCAAAACATTTACTTTTATTTAACAACCAGTGTAATGACCTGAAGAACAGAATATATTTGTGAAGGATTTTAAATGGGACAGTAGATGGACCTAAGGCATTACAGCATTGGAAAGGAAAGAGCAATGCTTTTGCATATTCAGCAGATAGTAGTGCTGCAGGGCTCTGTGGTGGAAGGTAGCAAGCATAATCCATATTAAACCAACTGTTTGCAGTGTCTCTGTGTACCTCCAGTTCCCAGGATTTCATTATGCTCTACTTATATCTCTGGCTCCTCTTTAGTATGCATTATAAGGGAAAATGTATGTATTGGTGCTATTTTGTGTGCATGTCTGCAAGTGCCCTACCTTAAAATTTCGTGTCTGTTGGCTAAAGTAAAATCTCACTGAGAAGTAGATACCTTAAGAAATTAATTTCCTATAGTTGTAATTAAAGTAGGCATCTGTAGTTAAAGCCAGAACCCCTACTAATAGCCTCACTGATAGGAAGGTTGCAGTGTAGACTCAACCCTTACTAAACACAAGAGAATCTGCACAGAGGGAGACATTATGAAGGCTCTACCACAAAGAAAACATCAACAGACACATTCTTCTTAGATACCAGAGGATCCAAGTGGAAAATGCAAATTCTGAGGAAACTAAAGAGTGAGTCAGTGGCAAAGACAGGAATAGAAACATTGCCCTGCTTTTATTCCTATACTGGGCATGATGGAGTGAAGTGTAAGCTTTTAGGAGAGGGAGAAAAGACAGACACAGGGGAAAACACAACACTGCATGAAAATTAGTGTATGCAGTAAGTTGAAAATGCTGTAAACTTTGAATTTAAGGGTGGTAGCTATTTCTTAAATTTATCTTGGGATAGAGCAGTAAGGTTCTAAGCAAAATAATGGAAGAAAAATCTGATGGAATAGATAAAACAGTCTCTTTTGACTCAAGAAAATTTGCAAGCTCGTTCCATCTGTGAAACAAATTAACTTGTCCAGAGAATATACATAAGACATATTGCAATGTATGTAATGTCTTGATACTGTATGGGTTTTTTTAAATGCAGTCACTTGTATTTAAAATCTCTCTCTCCAAGAAGAGAAAAAAGAGATTTATGTAAGAAACCAAAATCAGTTTTCTTCTCCCTTCCCTTTTCTTTTCCTTGTCTTACTTCTCCCTTGTAAAGTTATCTCATCCTTGACTAAGCATTCACATGTTTCTAGCACATATTACAATCAAGAGGAGATCTGATTCACAAATTAAAATTAAGCCTTTAGTGGTTTACTATGATTACAATTGGAGCTCATGCTTTCGTCTAGGTCTCTGCTGTGCTGGCTGGACAACTGAAGCAGTTTAAAACTCAGTGCTCAGCAGGATGTGATATTTCAACCCAAGCATGAAGGAGCCTCCTGGAAGGGCACTGCAGTTCTCAGGTCCTGTGAATGAGCCTCCAGCAGGTCAAGAACAGGGTCTGCTCTGCACCTGTGGGCTGTGTGCAGGCCAAGGCCAGGTCTTGCTGATGTTACGTGGTCTCATAAAGACTGAAGATTGCAGCCACATTTGTCTGGTGCCAATCACTGCTGCTTTGTCAAATGAATGTAATACCAACAGTGATTACGTAAATAGTCAATATAATTTTGAGATCTTGTCCAATTTGGGGAGGATTATTACAATCAACTTCATGAAGTGGTGTCAGTTTTTCTTATGTGATCACACTGTGTAAAGATGTACTGAGGTACTGGTAAAATGAGGTTCTGGATTAGCTGTCTTCCTTGCAGTCTGAAAAAACATTGATGGTATGTGAATTATATTAAACTGGGTTTTGTGATTAGCTTTACAGGGTTTTTACAGTCCCTTTAGGGACTGGTTTTAAAGTCTTGGAAGAAAATGCCATGAAGGCATTAATGTTACATTTGAAACCAGTATGATCATCTGTCTATCCATCTATTCATCTCTGGATAGGTAAAGAGTCTACCTGATTCTGTATGTATAGGTGTGTGTGTACACATATACTCTTGGCTTTATATGTTATATTCACGCTTTCATGCTTTCAAGGCCACACAAGTTTTGTGAACTTGATCATATACTGAGACTACTAAACTATTTGTATAGTTAATCCAGCATTTACTGTTGAAAATAAATGAGTTTTGATTGCAGAAATATGAATTAGCTGTATAAGTGAACTGGAAGTTTATGAATAATTGTTTCATAAACTGTGTAGAGAAGTTGAAGAAAGAGTAACTAAATCAACAGCTAAGAATCAAGAGGATGTTTAGTCTGCTCAGACTTAAAAGAAATAATTTGAATTTGTGTCATCCAATACAGAGTCCACTGTAGCTCTTCACATATTTTGAAGTTTATGTGTTTCTTTCAGAGATATCACTATGATTTGTTTAGCAAATCAGCTCTTGAGTTAGAGATACCTTTAAAGTTAAGTAAGGAAGAATAAAAAATATGTTATATCTAACTAAATTACTTTTCTGGGAAAAGTGCCTGGCATCTCTCACAGATAGAAAGGCCAAAGATATCAAATTCACTTTTAGGAAATGCCCTCTAAGCTTTGCTCTATGATGGCTTATGAATACCAGTCTGTGGGGATCCTGTGGCACTTCCATATGATCTAATTTGGAGAGACCCTATTTGCAGTTGGGATTTCTTGTGTGAGTGCCTTAGGAGAACAATCACTACAGGTAAATGGCTTTTCACCAACACTTGTTGGTATTACAACACAATGGGTACTCAGCAGTGAAGATGCTACCTTTTGTATGTCTGGACCAGTTAGCAGCTAAACTGATTTCATTGAGAGAGAAAGGGAAGGTGCATTGTTTTGACCCTTCGGGTCTCACACAAAAGCTGCACGTTTTTGTTAGCAGCTTAACCAGTTCATCTGTAATATTTTCAGAGTTCTTGGGTATGACACCTGGACATGATGACTCTTATGCTTTTAAAATGATATGATTGCACTGATTTATCTTGTAGATACTCTTCAGTTTCAGAGGATGCTTTCTTTTCATTACTGATAAGATCAGAACAAGAGTAGCTGTCATGTCCTCCAGTTTAGAATTGCAGTAGAGAAGATAACATTCCCCTCTGAAGGACTGCCTGAATCTTCTTTCATTATTCCCTATAACCTCTAGTGATACAGGAAATGCACAGATCCATTTAGAGCCCTTCTGATTCCTCTCTTCTTCTCTGTCTGCTGTAGTCTACTGTTTCTGAGGCTGTTATCAGTATTTGCTTTTGGAACTGGATCTCAGAAT